AATTCGCGCAGCGAGTTGCTCGTCGCTGCGCCAATATCGAAACATTGACCGGTTGAAGACATGTAGCCGTGTCGATACCACCATTTATAGCGAACGAGTTGATCATAGGCAATGAAATCTCCACGACAAACCAACGAAATTCCAAGACAAAGTGCCATTGAAGTGTCGTCTGTGAACTAAAACGATACACTCTGTTTGTCAATGAATCAGCGGAACGCTATTAGTAAGAGTTTTCATGAGGAAATGGCGTTTGTAACGAATTCACACAATCGCAAAGTGGGATCATATTTGAAGGGAAATACAGCAAAATAATGGAAAGTTTACCTGTCCTTTCTTGAGACCCCAGGTCCCTCCGCTGCTTAGATCGGTCACAGGATGTTTGGCGAGAAAGTCTCGCGGTCGAAACTCCACATGAGCGCCAAGAGCGTCACCCAAAGCCATTCCGACGATCGATCCTTGAGCACGATTCAAAACATCACCATTGATTGACTGAGGAGGATTTTTCAGCTGGTCCTCCAACTCATGTGGCTGTTTGATCTGTTGCAAATCTTTCGGCTGATATGTCAGATCGAACCACAGCTTGTCTAAACACAGAAACTTCTTCGTTAACAACTGGCATTGGCGAAAAGATGCACTCACTCACCTGTACAAAATTGGCACGACGGATGAATTTTGGCCATCGCTGATATATCTATAATTGACAACACATAGTTAGTCGCATTTATTGCAACTTATTGCATTAGTTCGCATAGTGCTCCACTTTTTGCTAGGCAAATTCTTATTTGAGATCATTGAACCTTCTCTTAAGGAGAGCTCTCAGTCGGTTTCTGACGTATCTGGAAAACAATACTATTATAGCTTCGTCGTTTTCAACAACGTGATTCTCTGAGGTCTACTAAACTGAACTCGTTTGAAGCGAATCAGCTCCATTCCTACTTACCAGTAACCTAAGCAGGAATGCGAAACGTCAAATATGACTTTAACCAGCGTAATCACTCTATTTTATCCTGGCTCGTAGTCAAAACAAACGTGTGGGCTCCACAATATGCATGATTCTTATTTTTACTGACGCAAATTCACTACCCACCTGCACACAGCAACGAAAGACAATCTTAGGCAGATATCACTATTGGTTGTCGATAAAAACAAGAAGAAACAGAACGAAAAAAAACACTCTTCAAACTTTTTCTATTGTTTCGTGTGATTCACGGTAGTTACGATTGTCATGTTCTGTCATCTTAAACAATGACATCACTTAACTCGCTATGCGCTTACGTCAAACAAGCATCATGTGTGCGGGTGAGAATACAGTACACTCAATCTCATCTAACGACTGAAGGTGTGGGCGAATATGTGATTTTTCTCTAGATCAACATTCACACATCCACATCCACACCTTTTTCTAATGAAGATTTCACTGACAAATGCTTTTGAAAAATCAATATTTAACTATTGATAAAAGATTTTATATCGAAGCACTAAAAGCTTATATTACATGCAAGAATTGTTGAAATTTCACTCAATAGTGTCCAATATTTGCAAAATCGAGAATTGATTTGTAAATTAGAAAAAATCGATCAAGAATTAAGTGAATATTAAGTCATGATCTTATTGAGAACTCTACATAGGCACGAAAATCTGACTAGCATGTTAGTAAAATAGACTTGATCCCTACTAAGCTCTACTTTTTTCAGAAGTTGAACTACCTTCATTCTCTCTTTGATTCCTTCTACTTTTGTGCTGTCTTCTTATTATTATTGTTCTTCAAAATTATAAATATTCTTAAAATGCGAAGCAAAGTTGAAAATTAGTTAAGGTGTAGAACATTTCGAGAAAAGCTGCTTTAGATCATAGATAGCTACACAGAGTTATTTCTTATCTTATCAGCGATGTTTCTTGAAGAAGGTGCACACCAATTCACTTATGAAATTTCATTCAAAACGAAGCAGTTATGTGCATACAATTCCTTCGTACAAATACAGCTGATGTATTGTGTCAAGGTTATAATTATGAAACACAGATTAAAACAGTTTTACTGCTTTAATGTTACAATTTAGTAGTAATCATAACTGATCAAGTAATAATGCTATGTCTACGAACGCTTAACCGTACGACTTCTAATATGTCCTGACACTTTTTCGTTTACTTTTTTATTCATGTCTGGAGATTATTACGTTGTAATAGTACGTGATCAGAGCCAATGAAGTATAGACAGAATAACGAAACAATATCAAGAAATGCATTTATGCACGCCAGCTGCAGTTTCCGTACAGGTCCGAAATTCATTCAGCAGTAGTGAGTGTAAAAAGTTATTTTCTTTCGAACTGCCTATAAAATTGTGGTCTAAAAAATGAATGAGAGAGAACGTGAAAAAAAGTTTCTACTGGTTCAAATAAGCCATTATTGCGTTCTTGTCACCCCTGACCAAAGATGATTTTAGAAATGCGACTTGGGCCTAAAACACAAATTATACTAAAATGTCTATCTCACTTTATTACTTCGAATGATAAGAATACGAATCTTGAAACAAGTATTCCGACATGTGGCGCCTCTCAACTGCATTTCTTGCTATTGATTTGATGAATCAACAGACTTCGATCATGCACTACAATATTTTGTCATTTCTTTCTTATTCGTTATTGACTCGTATGATCAATAAGCATGATATAGTTTGTCGGAGGAAATATTTCCATAAAGCGTTGGAAAATGCAACCGACAGTCAAAAAAATTTGGTTGATTTGTTCCCAGTCTATTTTTTGTGTATCGTAGACATCGATTAGTTCATACTTCCGGTATAAATTCTATCATTTACTCATTTACTTGTTCGCACTAATAAAACTCCTACGTACTGATGTCGCGTTTCATGTGAGAAAAAAACAAACTGATATAATATCCAATATGATGAAATAACACTCCTGTGGACAACGATACTTCGAAAATGTATTTATCGACTTGTATTGCCACTGTGCAATAGAGGTAACTGCTTAACCTACAATCGAGTATATTTTTTCTAAATATCCAATTCTTCTGTATTCTATAATACTTCATACCATGATGTAGAAAAATTGAATTGTCAAAATTAACTGTACATCGTTTTCAGGCACTGATACTTGTTCTTATGTTAGCTATTTCAGAGATAGTCTAGATCTAAGTATAATCCATAGCATAATAAATAATCCTACTGGAAACATTGATTAGACTTGAATAACCAAATAAGTGAATTTTTAGATTAATTAATTATATAGTGAGTGGTAATCCACTAACTAGAGAAAAATCTCTGTAAATCCTCTCTCAAACTTCTTTATCTGTAAAACATGTAGTAATCGAAGGTTAATAAAAAAATTTCTACCAGAATAATGCGATAAAACCAGTTTCGTGACACGAGTTCGAATTAAATGCTTGAAATGTACTCGATCTCAACTTTACCCAATGATAAAGCTGCTTGTCTTTGGATTATTGATTTCTTCGTCTAAATTCATTCATCTGTTTTGCTACATATATGAGTTTGCTTCTACGAATATATTATATTATGTAGGAATACACTCTTCTATTTCTAATTGGTTTAGAGAATGCGGCTGTATACATCGTAAATATGTAGCTTTTATTTTTTTAGATGAACAATACTAACTGTAAAATAGATTTCAAAAATTATTCGCGAATTAGCACGAGTGGAAACAAGCCTAGAAAAGCATAGATGGGATATAACAAGGACTCAAACATTGATTTGAACGTAAGGTTGCTCGTTCTGCAAAAATCGTACTTCTCGAAATTTTTCCAGTGTTCTCAGCAATATAGATCATTTCAAAGCCTTATTTTCAACTCGTAGAATTATTCTGGAACAGATGAAACTTATCCCACTTACTGCTGCTCTACTAGAAAGAATTCATCAAATCTTCACTTTTGACTGCTCGATTTGTTGTTGAGTATTTAAAAATTGTAAAAGTTGCGAATACTTTGTAAAACTTCATCGAAAGTGCATATTAGGCTGTTCGATCGATTTTCTACGACGCCAGATGCTTCAAAATTTTATTTCATTTTAAGTATTAGAACGTTTAATTTTGGTTCATTGAAATCGTGTGACATTTCCAACAGTACTACTTACTTCTGATTTTCAATTTGACAAACGAAAAGTTTAAAGATGAAAAACTTAAGCAAACATAGTTCAAGTAATATTCATCTTCTTATAAAATATAGTTTTTATCTAAAACCAATAGATTATTAATCGTTAGTACGTAGACTCGAATGTTCAACGTCTTCTATTCTGCATATCGGTCTATTATGTATCGGCCGCTCTTGAGCGAAAAATTGCGGGCGGCATGCACTTTTGCTCAGCAAACTTTTGTTGCTACTCGAAACCTTTCACAACGAATCCTCCGCTAGACATAAGCAGCTCAAATTGACGCATCGAAGCAGTTTTTAGTACATAAATTGGCACCATTCATGTCAGCGTATCCATGTGTTTTAACAAAAAACATGTGTTTGAACTTTTATAAGAATTACAAACTAAATTATTAGAGAGATTTAGAACTTAGTCAATGAAGACTTGTGCAAATATTAGCCGAGATCCTTCTGTTTAGTTTGTCTAGCATAATTCTGCTATCTATCTTCTCTAGATAACATGTTCAAACGGTTATTGGGCAAAAAAAAGGAAAAAGAGGATACGATTTTTGCCACATCCTCTAAGAAACAAATTGATCCGCCTCAGGTCACCTGGAAGCATTCATGGGCACTTACTGAAACACAGAATGCATTAGCTACATCTTCATTTAATCGCCTTCCTCCTGAAATTCTCTTACGTATATTTCAATGTCTTTCTGTTCCTGATCTATGCAATGTGTCACTTGTTTGTCGATTGTTCAAAATGGTTGCAGATCAAGATGACATTTAGAAATTAAAATGCAATAGTAAGAATTCTTGATTTTTGTTTTCTACAATAGTATTTTTGAAAATATACAATAGTTTCAACGAAGTTATATTCAAAATCATTCAAACAAACTTACATGGATTGGATGTATGAGAAATATTTACGAAATGAAGAATTAAAACAAAAATTAATAAACATGAGATCATATGGTCGACTAGCATGTGTCACGTGTCTACCACCACAATATCCAGTTCGACCAATAGCTGAACATTCACTTGAATCTGTTGGTGGTTTTAGCCAACACCCAAACTCCTCAAAAGACATGTAAGGTAGTTGCATCTTCTTATCAGATAAATGAAAATTTGATCAAGATTGATTCTTCTTAATACCAATGATTCATAATTGAGCTTTCATAGTTAAAACGGAAACTAATTGCATTTCTAGAAAAGATTTGAGACTTGAATGAAAGGACTTTAAAAACCAATTGAACACTGATAATTTCTTGTTCATATCTGATCAATTACAGCGCACCAGTATACTTCTTATAGTATTGTTCAGTATTAAACAATAGTAGTTGCCATATGAAATAGTATAGCCTATCACTTTTTGCGAAATTCTACGATTAGATATTTCCCTTTGTTTCTTTGTCCGAACCAAAATTCTTAATACTTTGGTTTTTCAATTTCGTTACTTTCGGTTTAGCCTAACTATCTGACACATTTTGATTAAAATAGATTATTAAATTATAGATGACAGAATTGATTACAAACATTGTCATATTTCCAACATCTAATTGACCCATCATAAGTAGCTGAAGTCGAAAGAGTTCAATGTTCGATGACGACTCTATTAAGATAAATATACCTAACTATTGAAGTCGAAGTATATCACAAGTTAAAATTGGAATCTTATAGGAACAGTTCTTCTTTACTTCTATGACACAGATCTATTAAAAAGAGAAAAATTCTGTCAATAACTTTCTGAAATTGAAGAAAAAAGAAATGGATTTTCGAGAATATTTCTCGTGACAATTTTGATAAAAGTTAATTGGTTTAAAAACTTAGTTTGGTGTGTATAGGAAATAGTTACATCGATATTTCACAGCAAAAGCAAAACAGTTGACCATTAAGATCAATGCTACTTTATATACAGTTGAAAGCACTATTCTTTTATATAGTGCTGATGTTCTTTCTGGGTCTTAGGACAATTGAATTGTCTGTCGATATTGACAAAACAGTCCATCAACTCATATCATTGTTGGAAAAAGCATCGACATTTCAAGATAAATGGTACGAATCTGCTATATTGAAGCAAATGATCACAAGATATTATCGATTCATGCAATTAAAAGCTATCTATTTACCGAATACACTACTCATTCCTACACTTGATATTGAAATCATTTGGCAAACACATTTACTTCGACCAGAAATATATAGAGCTGATTGTCTTCGTTTATTTCGTCAAGTTGTCGATCATTCATTGCTGACTACAGATATTCAACAGTTCTTAAAAGAGCAAGCATTTATTGATACGTGTCGTTTTTATGAAGAACGATTTGGTGAAAAATATTGTCGATTACCATCAAATAAAAATCACCGGAAACCAATCCCGGACAACGTATTTGATGAAGAAGATTTAATAAATGACTCCCAAGACGTCTATTCGTATTGGGATAAAACATTTTTCGAATTTTCATCGAACTCACCAAAACAATATGAAAATCCTTTTTCATTTACGGAAGCTGAAATTATTCTCGATAGTCGTTGGCTTGATTTATGTAAAACATTTATGCATGATTCACTGCAACGAGTTCCTATTCGTGGCTATTATGGAAGATCACGCGACTATATTGATCTTGGAACTGGAGCTATGAAGCGTTTAAAAAAATCTTACGAACGATTTTTATATATGGCAGCGAAATATCCACTGAAAGATAGTAGCGATTTTGTACCACCGACATATGCGGTAAAATTTCTATCAACAAAGAGTATAGTATTATTCTATGATTATATTAATACGGTTGTTTTAGATAGACATCATATGGCATGCACATATGCAAGAACCATTGAAATATACAGCTGATTGCCTTCGACTGGTTGGTTATATTATGTTTCATGCACCATGGCCGATTATTGAGGACAAGAAAATAAAGAAAAAGAGCGACAGAACGGATAACATTTGGAAAGAAGAATTTCAAAGTGAAATATCAACGGATCATCTCTATAATACTATTGAGGAAATACTTGATTGGAAATTTGAGACATTTTACGTAAATCAATGTGCTTAATGCTTGCATTTCTCTAATTAATCAAGAATAAACAAGACAAAATATATTTCCTTAATTCTATTTCTACTACTAATATTCTTATCCATACACCAGCACATCTACTCACGTCCACACGATCATTCACCCTTCTCTCTTTATGTTTTTAAGTTATTCGAAAAATACTCATGCCTATTTAACTCTGAAATGAACATTAGTGAAGTAGTTACTTAAATGAATTTGCAGGTAAGTTAATGATTATACTACTGGAGCCATCTATCTGAGTACCAATTGTCAATACTATATGAATGAGTTACATGGACAAAAGTATCATGAAAAAAACAAACCAAAAAGCTCTGAAATACAAAAAAAAGAGTGATGACCAGTGTGAACTGACAAAAAAATTAGACATTTTAGGATGCCAATCATGGCTCCCTGTTGTGAGTCAGAAGCTTATATGAAAGTACAAACGAAAATGACTAAGAATCTGCGATACATAAGCCGTCAAAAGATTTAGCCAATGTAACAAGTGATCGTTTTCATACAGTATTTGTCTAGATGTCTTAGGTGTGCGTGCGGTTGTGTGTAGAAATTAGAAGTATGTTCACACTTCACATCCTTTCTAAAATAAATACAATAATTATTGCCTAGATGGTTGTAATTTCCATTTTATTTTGATCATAGTTCGATTGCAAGGAAGAAGTTTTGAAATACTTAGGGCAATCCAAAAGTTCTGTCGTCATTATCTTTTTTTCTTATAGAAAGCTTGAAAAAATTTTCTTTTTTTTGTGAACAGATAGAGCGTCTTTCGTTCTATGTTTCTATGCTCTTTGATCATTATTCAACTAATATCATAATAATAAAATTTCGATAAGAACTGGCTTTATTGAAAACTAGCTGGTGGCATTAGATCTTAATGGGTCGGACACTTTTGCATTTCACTTTATTATCACTTAATACGTTGTATTAAAAAAACAAAATATATCACAAGATGCAGCGTGAATAGCTCTATAACTTACAAAGAACAATTATAAAAAAGGTGAGATAGGAAAAAACGAAGTCGTCTTTTATCAAAAAAAAATTCTTTTGCGTAGCGTCGAAATTTGCACGCTCAGAGTTTTGTCCATTTTGAAAACAAATAGTGCAACTATAAAATAAGTGATCTTATGTAATTTGTAGAGCTTTTCACGCTGCATCTTGTGGTATAATTTGCTTTTTAATACAATGTATTAAGTGATGATAAAATGAAATACAAAAGTGCCCCATTTTTTATACAACACCTGTTATGATCTAATATACCACCAGCTAGCTTTCAACAAAAACAGTTCTTATCGAAATTTTATTATTATGATATTAGTTGAATAATGATCAAATAGGATAGAATAATAGAACGCAAGACGTTCTATCTGTTCATAAAAAAAGAAAGTCTTTTTAAGCTTTCTATAAGAAAATAAGATAATGACACCAGAACTTTTGGATAACCCTAAGTAGTTAATAAATTGCATCAGCTCTATTGAAGTGTCAGGAGGTTTTCTGAATATTACATCATCTCTTACATTTTCTTTTAAATAATGAATTTTTAAAACTTGGATAAAACAGTGTTTTTGCTTGACTTCATAGATGATCACAAATACAGAGACGATTACAATGCTGCCTTCTACAACAATAGATTTTTCCGTAACTGGCGAAATACTTCAATTTGGAAATGCTGAAAAAAATATTTTAGCTTATTGGAAGCAAATAAATGCATTCGAAACAAGTAATAAATTATCAAAAGATCGACCAAGGTAAAAATAAAAAAGAAAGTCTTAAATAACTAAAAGAATTAATTGTTGAAGATATACATTCTATGATGGTCCACCATTCGCTACTAGTCTTCCACATATTGGACATATTTTAGCTGGAACAATTAAAGATACAGTTACTCGATGGGCTTATCAAACAGGACATCACGTTGAACGTTGATTTGGTTGGGGTAATATTCACTTTTTGCTTCTGACTTTTATATGATGCATCTATTTTTTTATTGTTTTAGATTGTCATGGTTTACCAGTGGTATGACCAATTTTTTTTTCTTTTTCATTGTCTTGAAACTATTTCTTGTTTTGCTTAATTAGGAACACAAAATCGATAAAATGCATGATATTAAAGATCCCGAAGATGTAGCTAAAACAGGTATTGCTACTTATAACAATCATTGTCGACAAATTGTTATGTGATATGCTAAAGAATGGGAAGTATGTATTTTTATTTAAAGAAAACAAGACATGAAAATAATTTAAAACAGGATGTTATTGAGCGTATGGGTCGATGGATTGATTTTTGACGAGATTATAAAACAATGTATCCATGGTTTATGGAATCAGTTTGGTCTATTTTCAAACAATTATATGAAAAAGGTTTTGTTTATCGTGGTTTTAAAGTATGCATAAAGAAGTTGTCTAAAACTAGGTAATGAAGATATTCTATTAAGGTAATGCCTTATTCAATGGGTTGTTGTACTCCATTATCAAATTTTGAAGCTGGTCAAAACTATAAAGATGTTACTGATCCAGCTGTTTGGGTATCATTTCCACTTCTTGATGATCCGACAGTTAAACTTATTGCTTGGACAACAACACCATGGACATTACCATTCAATCTTGCACTTTGTCTTAATCCAAATTCAGTTTATGTCAAAATTCTTGGTTTGTTTATACTAGAAAATTCAACAATAAAAAAAAAGAATTTAAACTTTTGTTTTTTTTTTTCTTTAGATAAAATGAAAAATGAAATTTTTATTGTAATGGAAGAACATTTATCTGAACTTTATAATAAACCTGACAGTTATCAAATACTAGAAAGGTGAATTAAATGAAACTCTATATTTGTTGTTTGTTTTGAATATACGTAGATTTAATTTCTATAGTTTTAAAGGATCTCATTTGAAAGAAATGCATTATGTACCATTATTCCCTTATTTTACTAATGTAAGATTTGTTTTGTGTTTTCAAATAATTTTTGTTTTAATTTATTTAAAAAAAATAGGTAAAAACAGCATTTCGTGTATTATGTGATGATTATGTAACAGAAAATAATGGTACAGGTGTTGTTCATCAAGCTCCATTTTTTGGAGAAGATGAGTATCGTGCTTGTGTTGCAAATGATGTTATTAGTAAAGATACAGGACCTGTAATTTGTCCAATTGATGCTCAATGTCGATTTACTGATGAAGTAAAAGATTTTCAAGGACAAAATGTTAAAGATGCTGAAAAACTTATTATAAAGTATTTAAAAGAAGCTAAAAGACTTGTTCATCAATCAGTAGTCAGGCATTCATATCCATTTTGTTCGAGAAGTGATACACCATTAATTTATCATGCTGTTTCATCTTGGTTTATTCGTGTTGAAGATATGGTTGATCGATTATTAGCTAATAAGAGTAAAACATATTGGTAAGAAAAAGAAAATCAACACAAAGTTTTATTTATTTAAAACCTATGTTTTAGGGTACCTAATTCCATTAAAGAAAAACGTTTTGCTAATTGGCTTCGTGATACACATGATTGGGCTATTTCACGATATCGTTATTGGGGAAATCCAATTCCATTATGGATTAGTGATGATGGACATGAAATTGTTTGTGTTGGTTCAATGGAAGAATTAAAACAATTATCTGGAGTTTCTGTTGATGATATTCATCGTGAAATGTAAAATGAAATTCTTTGCGTTTTTTTTTCTCTTTGAATTTCTTCAATTAATAATTATTATTTTTCCTTTTTTCTATTTTAGTGTTGATGAAATAACAATTTCATCACGATTAGGTAAAGATTTACTACGTCGAGTACCTGACGTATTTTTGATTGTTGATTTGAATCTGGCTCAATGCCTTATGCGCAAGTTTATTATCCATTTGATGAACATGAAACATTTATGAATACATTTCCAGCTGATTTTATTGCTTAAGGTATTGACCAAACACGTGGATGGTTTTATACATAATTAGTTATTTCAACAGCATTATTTGATCAACCACCATTTAAAAATTTAATTGTTAATGGAATTGTTTCAGGAACTGATGGAAAAAAATTGGCAAAAAAAGAGAAAAATTATATTGATCCAACAATAATTTGTGATAAATATGGTGCTGATGCGCTTCGGTGAAATTTATTTCAATTATAGAAAATTAATATTTTACGTATTTTATATTTTTTTTTTAGACTTTTTTTAATCACTTCACCTGTTATACATGGTGAATCGCTTAAATTTGATGAAAAAGGTGTTCAAAATATTCTTAAAGATGTATTTTTACCTTGGTATAATGCATTACGCCTTCTTATTCAATCATATGATCAATTAAAAATTGATAAAAAAATTAATTTTATTTATGATGAAAAAGGTTTATATTCATCAATGTCATTAAATATTAATGTTATGGATACATTGATTGTATCTTATACTCAAACATTAATTGATTTTGTTAAACAAGAAATGGATGGTAAGATTAATTTTTCCACCGATAACAAATTATTTCTCAGCAAACCTTAAGTCAATTATAATAGTCTATTTACAAAAATCTAATATCTCATTGAAATAAAATGAAAAAATTTTGATTAGTGGCGTAACCAGGCAGAGGCTAGATGGAGGCTTGACCACAAGCGATTAGAAGGAATCGGCGTAGAGAAATCGATCCAAAATCGGAGAAAATTGACTCACCACAATTTTCAAATCCAGAGAAAGCTGCAGTCAAAAGCTTTCGGAGTAGAATGATGGTCTCTAACCTGCGCCCTCTTCCCCTGTTCCTAAAACTAGAAGGTTTTGAGGCTTATTTCATAAAATTTGTTTCTCAGTCGATGACACATTCTATACATTTGACAATGTCAAAGATGAAGCTTGATATATGACATAATTCATATTTAACGAAAAATAAAACTTTGTCTATATATAAATTCAATTCTGTTGTAATCAGAAACTAATTTTATCGTTCAAGATAACTATTTCTAATAGATTTCATTTTTATTTTAGCTTATCGTTTGTACACAGTA